TCCTCCCGGCACCGCCCGCCGCCTCCCCCAGGCTCTTCTCTTTCAGCATCTCGTGGGAGGTACTGGGGTGCACCGTGGGGTACACCTTGCTGCCCACGATGTTCTTGGGGATCCCCTCCGGGCTCGGCAAGCCAAGGCCCGGCTGCGGGAGGGATGACTGGCAGCGCACGGGCTCAAAGTGGCAGTCGGCGTGGTAGATGCTGTGGACGGACTCGGTGTTGCTGGGAGCGGCGCTGGGGGCCCCATGGGGGTTCGGTGCCGAGGGGGGAAGCATCAGCCGGTTGGTCCCGTTGTGGAGCGAGCTGGTCTCCACATCGCTGATCTCCGGGCTGGCGCGGGGCGCCCGCAGGTTCCCATTGCCCAGGTGATAGTGGTGGTGGTGGTGGTGATGGTGGTGGATGAGGTGGTGCACAGAGGACCTCTTCCTGCTCCGGCGCTTCCTGGCATGCCGGTCGGCCCCGGCCTTGCTCGTGGGGCTGGTGAGGAAGCCCATCCTCACGCCTGCCACCCGGTAGACCTCCACGAGCTGCTTGCTGCCTTTACGGGCAATGTAAACCAGGTACTTGAGGAGTTCGTCATAGCAGCTGCCTGGCTCCGAAAAGCTGGCGAGGGTGCTGGCGTTGGACAGGTAGCGCACGCGCTGCTCCTTCATCAGCTGGCTCTCGCGCTGCTTCGTCTCGGAGAACTGCGTTGCTATCACCACCAGGCAGAGGTTGATCATGAAGAAGGAGCCCACCTAAGGGGACCGGAGCCATCAGCCACCTCGGGGTGGCCATGCCCACCCCATAGCCCTGCCTCACCCCACACCCCGGCGCAAGGAGCAGGGGGCAAACCCCAGCCAGCCCCATCTCCTGCATCACCCGGCAGGGACCACCGGCCGGGACCATGGAGGGGCTGACTCACCCCCCGAGCCCCTGCCCCGGGGACTCCCACACCAGCGCTCCACGGAGGACATCAGAGATCAAAGACGAGAGAAGATTATTTTGACAAAAGGCTTTTGCTCTTTTAAGACGGTGTTTTTCTCTCTCTGCAGACAGCGGTTGTAATTATCACAATTAGTGGCATTACGATGAATGCACTGAGCCTTCCTGATAGGAGCATTTTTTCTGGCAGTGTGTGGGCAGCTGGCGAGCAGATCCCTTTCCCCTGCTAACGGGATTTGCGGGTGACTATTATGCAAGGGCATCAGCAGCCTGTACCCACAGCTTGGAGATTTTATTTCCAACCACGGTTTCATGAAGTTCTGCCTTCTGCAGAGCCCAGCCTAGATCACAGAGAATTACTGACGTGCTAACGGGCTATCACACGCCGCTAACGTTGCTCGCACAGCATCTGGAAAAGTACTGCTTGCCCTTCCTCTCCGTTGTTTTGGGGATGCTGAGAGCAAGGGATTGTTTCTTTTTTGGGGAAGCTAATAGATAAACCAGAAAAAGCACCATGGACTAAACGATCTCCTACCTTCTCATCAGGGTTTGAGTCCTGGTTTGATGAGGAGCAGAAATCCCCACAACGGCCTAATGGATGACATGCAGCTATTTTGCTGGACTTAGTCCAATTAGACAGCAAGAAAGGGACTCATCTCACTTATCTCAGCTACATCTGAGTGCGGCACCTAATGATCCTTTAGAGTCAAGTGAGAAATAGGCACATCAAGTCTGCAATGCATCTAATTTATTTTGGATGTCTACCTTCGGAGGAGATGAATCACTCCTTTAAAGCACCTATCTTTCTCCCTTGATGATAAAGGGAGTCTAGACAACGAGCTCAGCCAGTCACGGTAGACAATTCTGCTTGCATAGATGAAGCCCATCATGGAGCCCACCCCACAGAAACTCTTTGTTGGGTCCTTTGTGGGTGGTCTCGGATGATGCTGTGAAGCGTGGGTGGGCTGTGGGCAGTAATCTCTTCCCTCCTTTCTTAATGTGCTCTCTGAAGTTTGGGGCTGTTTTCCTGAAATGTCCACTCTGCACCAAGGACCCAGCCAGCTGGGTTCTTCAATATGGGGGAATTTCTGGGCAGCTTCCTCCCCTTCCAGAGCTCAAAACCTGACCAGGGGAAATTTGCCTACTTTTAAACTTAAATTCAAGGTGGCGACTAAGGGAGAGGACCTTGGAGCACAAGGAGAGAAGTAGTAGAAACAGCAGAAGTGTATCTACCATAGCTTAAGCACATCTTTCTTTCCTTCCTTCACGTTTGCAGCAAAATGCAGCTGCAATACAATGCCATATTGAAGCTGTGTGTCCTCCAGCAGGCTGGTTTCTACCCCTCCTACGTGGCACCAGCTTTTATATTCACTATATTATCTGCCCTGTTCCTCTGGGTCACTCGACTCTGCCCTCCCCAAATGCCAGGAGGACCCCCATGTTCCCCTAAGGCCACTCACAATGATCAGGAGGATGAAGTAGATGAAGTTGTAGAAGGAGTGTGCGTCCATGACAAAGTACATGATGTCCACCCAGCCTTCCAGTGTGATGACCTGGTGGAGACAGGAGGGGAAAATGAACCGGTCGAGGCTCAGTTACAACACCAAGTGCACAAGCAACGTTTCTCCTAGCTGGGTCATTTCTGACAGCCCATAGCTGGTCTTGGTGCAGTACAAGACACTGAGGAGCCAAATCCTGCTCCCACCAATGCCAATAGCCACGTTGCCAGCTGCCCAGGCTGAATCCAGCCCTTCTTTTCCAGCTGGACCTAGAGCCCACTACTGCATTTTGCAGAGGGAAGAGCAGGCTCTAGGCTCTGCTCCACATCAGGATGGTCTTCTTGCACGCACACAAGGTTTGGAGACTGGGGTTTTGTCCATGCATGTGAGATGGAAGCATCTTCAAAGAAGGCATCAAATTGTATCCCTGACATTTTGAGCACCCATGCACTGCTATATAGGTGCTTGCTGGTGCAAAATAGCCCCCAGGAGTGTGATTACGTAGCCCCCGGAAACGTGTTGGGAGGCACGACCGGCTGTTCCCCACCTTGTGACAGTTGGCACACAGGGCTCACCTGAAATATCGCGATCCAGGCGTAGCCAATGTTATCGAAGTTGATGGCTCCCTTGAAAGGGTTGTGCTCCCCGGCGGAGCAGTTGGTGTAATACTGGTTCCAGTTGACACAGGACGTGTTGGTGGTGTCGTTGTAGGAATAATAATCCAGGGTGCACTCAAGGCCTTCTTCCCTCCGCGTTGGAATACTCCGGCAGTAGCGCATCCCGTTCTCCCGGGGCTGGGAGCAGATGAAGGGGTTCTCGTCTTCGTTCTCTGTCTGGTAGTATCGCTCCAAATCCACCGTGTAGGGGCTGAAAGAGTCCAGACAGGGCTGGGGTTTGCACACCGATTGCAGGCAATCTGGCAAGGTAACAACTGTAACAGCAAAGTCTGACATCTATCATTCTGGATCTTAAAGCTGTTTTTTTAAAAGGCATCTCCTTGGACTTTGTGCAGCTCCAGTGGATGAGATGATGTCCCTAACTGGGTTTTGGGAAACTGAGGCAGTGCACTTGGCCACTCAGCAACCCCTCTGATGACATTACTAAGGGTCACTCCATCTGGAAGTGCTCTGGCTTTGACTTTGGGGGACTAAGAGCAGGATCCAGCCCAGCAGGGCTTCTCTGAGATGTCTTTGCTGCGGTAAGATGGAAATCAGTCACTTTAAGCTCCTGTATCTCCTGTCCTCCTAGAGATGCTGAGAATGGCTTGGGAAGACTCTATGTACAAGGACCTCCCAAGCTTCCTAAAAACCAGAGAGAGGGCCTTCATCTGCATTTCACAGTGCCTGTTCAGCCCATAGATAAGCTCTAAATTCCTTCTGAGGGTGGCCTTACCACAGCAAACCAGCTAAAACACTCTTCAGGGAGATTAAACAACCCAAGGCCAGCCAGAAACTGGCTTCTTGCTCTGCACACAGCTATCTCCCTAATGCTGCCAGGACTCCCACTAAAGCCTGCAAAGATATTTTTAAGCCTAGTTCAGCCCGGTTAATTCCTGCAGAATTGCCTTTAATACCCTTCAAAGCTTATCTAAACCCCTGGAATTCTGGCTCAATTAAACAGCACCCAAACCTGTGGCTCTATTGGATTTACTCAGTGGTGAAGCAGGCCCTCTGCTCTGCTGCCACTTACTTAACAGGGACATGCCCTGGTAATGACTCTCCCAACTGCCCTTTGAGGGCACGAGCTACAAGAGGGGTGGCAGTTGATTAGGGAATGTGTGGGAGAGGATAAAAGGTGCGTCATGCCAGCTCCAGACCTGAGAGCCAGCCTAGCCACAGCACCATCGTCATGGTCCTGCTGTGTGCAAGAGAGAGGCTTTGAGCTTGCAGGACTTCTCCATCCAGGTGTGGATCTAGCCGGATCAACTCCAGGGAGTCAACATTTGAAAGCAATCCACCGAAAGGTGACGGGGGTGCCGGAGCTCGGCAGAGCAGCCGTCAAGGGCTTGCAGTCACCTGCCTTTCTCCTGGCATTGAAAGGGAGAGAGGTCATGGAAAAAAGCAGGTAGGTAGGAGAACAGGTATGGAAATCCTGGTCTGAAAGAGGCTGACAGCTACCAGAACAGAGGGATATTTCAACCACTGTTCAAACATTCCTACACCTGGCAAGCTGGCTGGCCAGGAAACTGGGTGCCACAAAACCCCATTTGATCACAACAGTCCTCTTGGCCTTAAAATCCAGGGATCTGTGAAAAATAACACTTTGGGACAGGGACTATCTCTTGTTCTGACTGAAAAGGATCTACCATCCTGAAATGTGTGGTAGCTCCATCACTTTCCCTGGGGCTTAGGTGGGACTACAAATGTCACACCAGTTAACACCACCAGCTGCTGAACGGGATTCAGACCTCAACATCTCGACAAAAAAAAGAAAAGGTCACACATTAATGATATGCTGAATTTAGAAAGCCTGAACTCTTATTCTCAGGTTTCTTTGGAGGCTCTTATCAATCAGAGAGGTTCCCAAGTGCTGGCTGAGGGTTAAGGAGAGCCCTGCAGGACTCGAATGGCAAATTGTCACAGCTTGCTCTGTTCCGGCCGTGCGTGCCTGGGCAGGAGTTGTGGTGGCATTTAGGAGCAGGGAGCATTTACAGAAGACCAGGGATTTTTAATGGAGGATATCCTTGTCTCCTGGAGGGATAGACTCGCCCGAGCTGGAGAGACACTTCTGCTGCCCACGCAGACTCACATGCTGAAGTTCTCAGGGAGGAAGCAGCGGTTCCTGAGCAAACCTGCCCACAGCTGGACTCCCACGATGCCGAAGATGAAGAAGACGAAGAAGCAGAGGAGGAGGACATTCCCCAGCATGGGCAGCGTGTCCAAAAGAAGTGTCACCAGGATGCGCATACCTGGGGCAAAGAGGAATTGGTCAGGGAAGAGGAAAACTCCATGCTGAATTTTCTTATCCAGCTACATCCTCCTGACCTTTTCCTTTCCATCCATACTTTTCCTTCCACTGACAGCCGCTGCCTTCCCAACCACTGTCCTTGTCACCCACACATGGCTTGCAAACACCCGCACCTCCCCAGTCCCCTCTGGTTTCCCCCCAAAGCCCCTGGGATACCCCCTTCACCCGTGCCCTGCTCCTGGGCACACGACCTACCTTACCTGCTCCTCTCCCTTCACTCCCCATCTCAAGTCCTCTTCTCCTCCTGAAGCTTTCTAGCAATTATATGTCTCCTTTCTTCCCTGAGAACAAACTCTGACATTCTCCCTTGCTCAGTCGTATTTCTTTCCCCACTCAGTATATATTAAAATTCCCTTCCCTCCCTAATTCCCCTCATCTACCCTAAATCCCCTCTCTTCCTTCAAATACAGGACTCTCTCTGGCAGTTAATTCTCACAAGTTCAGGAACAGCCAGTTCTGTAAAAAAGACAAATTGATGGTGACTTCAACTTGACATTTACACACAAAAAAATTGATTTCATCTGACGTCTCTGTAATATTCTGCTCATCTCTCGCTCTCCTTCTTTCCCCGTCTTCTGCATTCTCTCACTCGCTTATATTGATTTTCATTTAAAGAAAGCTTTAGTGTTGCACCCTTTGCTTTGATACTTCAAGAAGATTTTTCTTCTCCCTTCCTGATGCTGTCACCTCCTCTATCAGGGTTTTTCTTCTACTCCTCTACTGGGGAACGACCACCTTGCATCAACTCCTAATTAACTGGAATTACTTTCTGTGGTTACTGCATTTATCATCATACAAAACTCCCTTTTTTCTTTTCCCACCTTACATTTCTATTCCATTGTAACTACGTTGCAGAGAAGCCAAGATAAATTTCCCGGGATTTCAAAATACGTTAAGTGAATTACATCCCCAGTTAGACAGTGGCGGATAAATTCAGCCATCCATCACTTCAGCAGTGGGGATAAAAAAAACATTGCAAACAGCATTCTGAAGCTACCATAATGACTGAAACAGCAGCAGCAGCAAAGCCAGAGTAAGTTCAAGAGTCAGGACCAGAAAAATAAATAGAACCCAGGCACCTCCAGCATTCACAGAACCATAGAATAGTTTGGGTTGAAAGGGACCTCTAAAGGTCATCTAGTCCAACCCCCCTGTTGGCAGACAGAACTGAAGCTGATTAGTTCTCATCAAGGCATGGGGCTAGCTCAGATAGGGGAGTTCGGACTTGGATTTAATTTGGCTAAAACAATGCTGGATTTGATACCCAGGATTATAGGAACAGGAAAATGACGTTTCTAATGAGTTGTACTTACGCTTATCACACCCGATCCGTACAGCGTCCGAGAGGGACGGAGCTCAGCACCTCTCGCGGTGCTCTGGGCTTTGCCCAGCACGGCACAGCAGGAGCAGCTCCCTGGGCAATGTGGTTGGGTTTGCGATGGCCAGTGCCTCTCCGAGCACAGGGCTGGGTTGCCATCACCTGCTGCTCTGCAGGTGCAGGCAATGCCACCCGTTGCTGTTCAAGGGGGGTCTGAGATCCTCATGCATGACCTGATAGACCAGCACTTGAATAGCCACCTCCCATCCCACCCAGGCTTGCTTTGGAGGTGTCGGGGCTTTTGGCTGTACGGACCATCTCTGGAGAGCAGAGCAAGAGATGCTCCAAGAGGAGGCTCCTCAGCGCCTTCCAGGGGGCTGTCTCCAGGCACAACAAGATTTCCTCACCCCAGTTTCTCCAGGAAAGGATGGGGTAGTGCAGGGAGGGTGGGAGCAGCGTGACTCAGACCCCTCTGCCCATGCTGCCTGGCAAAGGCTGTTGGGCTCAGTCAATCCCTATCACCTGCATCCCTTCACCTTAGCAGCCTCCTAAGACCCTCTTCAGATGAGAAAGAAAGGCATCTGAAGACAGTCCTGGGTATCTTATTGACTGGTGGCTCATCTCTGATGCCACAGGTGTCAAAAGGAATATTATTTAAAGTAGGAGACTGGAAACCAGAGAGTGGTGGTAGGACCTCACACTACCAGGGCCTGGGTGAACGTTTGAGCTGCAATGTAAGATGGAAAGCATCTGCATTTGCTCTTCCACCTTTGGGGCACAGATATAAAGAACCTGCAGCAACTGGGAGGAATAAGAAGGCGACTTACTGGGGACCCTGTTAATGGCCCTGAGTGGCCGCAGGACGCGGACGGTGCGGACCGCTGAGAAGCTGACGTTCTGCAGGTCCAGTGAGTACTCCAGCATCCTGCAAAAGACACGAATGCGGAGAAGAGTCAAGGATCTTCTGGAGAAATGTTAGATAATCAAACATTATAAATCAAACATTATATGCCAACTGCTCAGAGGGACTCGTTACTGCATCTCTCCCATCAGGAAAGTTTGCCAGAGGAATTAATTAAGGGTTGTTTGCATATCAGAATAAAGTCAATAAGCAAGAATGTGATACACCAGTTACACAGCCACAGATCTTCTCTCCCTCTCGCCTGCTTGGGTTACTGTTTTTGCACAGGTCCAGGGCAGAAGCTTCTGAAAGTGCCTGCACACTCCGGGAGGGCAATTTCCAGACACAGCCCTGTTTTTAACAACAATTGTACAGGTACGCTAATGAAACTGGGTTTGCTGTGCTGAGCACCACCACAACCCTGAAATGCAGAGGAGCATCACCTGGCGCAGACCCTTTCCGCGGGGTGCAGGAGGCAAGCAGCGCAGGACGCTGAGCTATTCTAGCTCTACCCAGCAGAAATCATTGGCAGGTGGGACTCAGGTGGACGGGCAAGTGCACAAATCAAAACTGATGACACTTGTAAATAACAAATGGGGCAAACACGGACCAAGGAACCTCCCCAGTGCTCCTACACTGTGCCTGATGGGGTTATTTCACAGCTCAGGACACTGAGGTGCAACCTTGACATGACTTAGTCTGAGGATGCACCTGGGCTGCTGCAAGTCCCTGGGGTCCCTCAGCATCGTCTTACTCTGCTCGTGGCACCTTGCTCAAGCACAGCGGGGCCATCAGTCACATCACCACCAGGACTTTGCTCTCCAGCCATGGAAAAACACAAGATCTCTGCCCAAAAGCATTCTTGAAGAGGCAGAGCCAGGCAAAGGCAAGGAAGAGGACCACGAGGCTCCCCGCACAGCTGGGCTCCCGCTGCCACAGGCAACCACAGGATATTAATCTCTTCTGAAAATTATCAAGTTCTATCTTAAAGCTCGTTGGGTGGTTGGAAGCCTAACTTGCAGCCTGAATTTATTCAGGACAAGCTCATATCCATTTGTTCTTATGCCAGCGCTGTCTTTTAAGTAGCTTCTATAGCTCTTTGTCCCTGGTGTTTACTCACCCAATGTATTTACAGAGGACAAATCACATCTCCTCTCAGCCTTGATTTTGCAAAGCCAAACAAACCAAGCTCTTCCAGCCCCATCTCGCAGACAGGCTCTCTGCTTCCCGATCGCAACCTTTCTCCGCACCTGCCCTGGCCTGAATTAATCATACCTGATTAGACATCAAACTTCTGGAGGAGGCTTTGCTGGTCCCTTGCACAAAGGCATCAGTGCTGCCCCCTCTCTCCCTGCTGGAAATCACGCAGGATCCATCAGTGCCGCGTTAGCTTTGCCATGGCTGCAGCACGCTGGACGTTTCTGCTCTTGCTGTGATCAGCCAAACCCACTCTCCTCCCTCCTGGCCATCGGCAGGTGAGGAGCACCCAGGGTGGAGAAGACTTTCTCTTTCTAGCCCCCAAAATACACGGCTCCGCACTTGATGCAGTGACACTTTATCCCATTTCTCTTGATAGGCTCTAATGAGGATGATGGTGATCAAACCATATCTAAGATCAAAATAACCTCAACATACTCCTCCGTGTTTAGCTGACACCCACAGCAGTGGGACAGTCCCAGAATATGAACGTTGGACAGACACGCGTGGATGCTAGGAGTTTGTTCTCATCCTCTGACCGGAGAGGAAGACAGCGTGTCCACGAAAGCCCAGCTGGCCCCAGTGACAAAACCAGCCCCTTCCTCGGTGTGCAGGACTCACCGCATTGGGTGAGCTTTAGCAGCAGTAAGGAGAGGGGCAACAATTTCCCTGGACTTTAATGGTTCTGAAGTTTCACCCACCAAAAAATAAGATTTTTGTATGGTTTGCAGGATTCAGGTAAAAAGCTCGTGTCAAACATACAGCTTTTCTTTCATCCATTATTAAAACAGAGTCTACCAACAAAATTCAGAGCAGCATATGGTTATTTGCACCAAGACGAAACATTTTCTGATTAATGACAGCTCTAGACTCACTTCCAGAGCTGCGTGTGCTTGTAATCTGCAAAGGGCATGTTGTAAAATGCATTTTGATTTAATATATTAAACAATTATAATACAACATTAAAAAAAAAACAACAAAAATAAACCAACAAAAATAAACCAACAACCCACTAGCTTGAGCAAACACTTTAACACCAAGACCAAGAGCAGGCAGGTGCTCTCCTACCTCTGCCACCGGACACTGCTACCAGCACCACCGCTACAGCACCGCAAGCTCAGCCCCAGACCTAGACTAGAAGATCCACACGTTGCTCTGATAACTAACAGCTCAAGACCCTTGAGACAACCCAGTATTGGGGGGGAAAAAAAGTGGGTAAAAATCAGTCACTACAGAGCAAGTCCAACGAGAATCCCACCACTTCCCAGCTCAAAGGTCACTTCCCAAGGCAAGGGGATGCACGGGAGGCATCAATCCACATCCCTGGCAAGGGAAGGTACCCAGGGAGGGCGAATGTCAGGATGTCACCAACTGGCGAGGTGACAGGTGCATTTACCAGCATATATAACATTTACGCATTGCAAATCTGCAGTGTAAAAAGCCCCCGATGAAGCTTCAACTCAAATGTCATTTCTGTTCAAACGGGAAAGCGCGATGCCTGTCAGTGCCTCTGCCACAGATCCAGGTGCCCAGCCAAGTTAAAGGCTCAGAAAAATACTCAGCATTAAATAGGATGGATTCATAGCAAATGCTGAGACTCACCAGAGTGATCAGCAACCCCCGATCGCTGGAGTTATTCAGAAGGAAAGCGGAAATATTTAGGACTTTCTAAGAATAAAAGCGGAGCATCTGCAAAGCCAGACGTACGACGGGCTGGTGGTGGGATGCAGAGAGAGAGCTGATGCAAACCTTTGGCAAACAGTCCTCTGAGAAGGAAAACTCCCAGGACTCAGCAGACAGACAGACACAAGGGATGGCTCAGGATGGACTGGGCAGCAGCATTTCATTCCTGTTCTGCCTGGAGATAGCAAGACTCAGAGCACACTGGGGTTTCTTTCATATAAAACCCAAAGTCTTGGAAAGGATCTCATAAGCGCAGTGTCAGGCAGCACTCCTGCCTGCGGCAAAGGACTCGCAGAAGTGGTGCTCAGGAGCATCACAGGAGGGGTTGAAGGGGCTCTTCTCACCCAGCAAGCCTCTAACAGAGCACAGAAATGCCAGCAAAGCCCTTCCCACACCTACCTGGCATTGCCTCTCCGACCCACCCTGCTCTCAGCCCTGGCTCTGCTCCCATCCCCGGGATCACTCCTGCTCAGGAAGCAGAAGATGGTGTGAAGACCCATCAAAGCCATGGAGTTTGTGCTGAGGGCGCTTTCCAATGAAAACTTGAGCTCGCCCCTTTCACAGCTGAGTGCCGGGGATGCTGTAGAGCCAGGGGACATGACCAGGGTCACATAAGGGACCCACAGCAGAGCAGCAATGCCTGCAGGCAGGGCAGCATCCCCGGGAGCTGCCCACCCATCTGCCCGCAGAGGCACAGAGCCGCCGCTCGCTGCTGGCAAGAGATAGGCTCAGATTTATTCAGCGTTGAAAGGTTTCCAAAACTGGGCATATAGGCACCCTTTATCTACAAAGCACAGTAATCAGTGGATGATATTAAGCCATCGGTGTTGGAAAAGACAAGGGGAAATTATTTAGGCAGTGTTGTATCTTCAGAAAGCTGGAATGAAATTTCCTCCCGGCCCTCGCCAGCTTTGCTGTGCTCTGCTTTTGCTCAGGAGCTGCTTTTTAAGCCTCACAAGTCTCGCCGCATTGGTGGGTGTTGCTTAATTTTAAAAATACTCATATTAATCAAGCTGAATGGAATAAAAAGAATAGCACTGGAGGTAGCATGAACCCTGCAGCCTGCTGGATCCAGCTGCACCGTGTGTCCCAGCCAGGACACTCGACTAATGAGGCTCTTGAAGCAGCAGCAAGTTCAGCTGAAGAACTGAAAGAAACTAAAGAATTCTCTTTAAAAAAAGTCCTAAAACTTCAAAAAACAAGGCTTTTCACAGGTGGGTTTGAGTCAGCTCGGCTGCGAGGGAGGCTGCTGAGGGGTTTCTTTTACCCAGCAGGTTTCTGTGAGTCAGGGACGCGGCTTGCTCGGGATGCTCTTCTTCGAAGGCTGCAAAGGCTGTGGTAAGGCAGCATGGAGCAGAGAGCATCCGCAGTCGTGGGCTTCGCCGGCCCTGGGTCTCGGCTGCTCTTCATCCTCCCAAAAGTCACTTAAAGCATCAAATTGCAAAGCTTGACCCCAGATTTTGAACCCCTGGAGGTTTGCAGTCATGAGTATCGGCTTGATGTGGTTCTGCCACTTCTGCTCGGAGCAAAGAGCACCTAATTTGGGATGAGCCAGGATGCAGCGGGGCGCCGGGAGGAGGCTCCCGGCTTCCAGGACGCTCACACCCACACCGGAAAGCACTGGAGAGGAGCAGGCTCCTGGGAGAGGGTTTGGTGCAGCTTTCGCTGCAGCTCAAAGGGGCTGTGGCTGTGATTGCACATTGGGTAATTGCGTGTGCAAATCGGCCACTTACACGGGCAATTACCCCATAGTGCTAACGGTGCCCAGGCAGCGCAGAGGGCACTGCGCATCCACGTCTCCAAGGTGCTGTTCCTCGGTGCGAGAGGGATCAATACAGGCAGGCAGAGGGGATGAAAAAGCAACATGCATCCCCGCCTCCCTTTTTTATT